AAAAACGAAAAAAAAAAAAAAAAAAAAAGGAAAAAAAAAAAAAAAAAAAAGAAAAAAAAAAAGAGAAAGAGTAGACAGAATTTTTTTATTTATTACTCACTGTCCCGTGTACAGTGAAAGTGAATTACGCAGTGAAGAGCTCGCAGCCACACACACACACACACATCGGTCATGTGTTGTTGTCCTGAATGTGTGACGGAGGCCTGTGTGTTGTTGTGGCATTACGTCACGACGACCGAGGCCAAAGAGCGAGAGATGGGGCAGGAGGGGAATAGGAGGGAGGAGAGGGAGGAGGGGGAAGCAGAGAACAAAGGAGCGGAGGAGAGGAAGGAAGGGAGGCAGGAAAAAGAGGAGGAGAGGAGGGAGGCCAGGGGAGAGGGGAGGAGGGGGGGGGGGGGAAAAGGGGGAGAGGGGGGAAAGAGGGAGGAGAGCGTGGAGGAGGGAGGAGGAAAAGAGGTAGAGGAGGAGGAGGAGCAGGAAAGAAGGCAGGAGGAGTGAGGAGTGGGAGTTAGGGGAGGAGGGAAGAGGAGGAGGAGGAGGCAGGAAAGAGGGAGGAGGAGTGGGAGAGGGGAGGGTGGTAAGAAAGTGAGAGGGAAAGATTTTAGATTTATTTTAAGATTTGAGTTTATTAGGTCTCATAAATTATTGCAAATTATGTACATTATTTATATATATAGACCAGGTTCTTGGGTGATGAATTATCTTAAAGATATATATTATATTTAAGCATTATTATATAATTTAAAATACAAGAGAGAGGAATAGGAGAAGTAGGGATAGAGAGAGAAGGAGCAAGGAGGAGGAGGAGAGGGGAAAGAAAGGAGGAAAGAGAGGGGAAAAGAAGGAGGGAGAGAAAAAGGAGAGGGGTAAGGAAGGAGGAGGAGAGGAGGACGACGACGACGAGGAGGGGAGGAGGAAGGAGCAGGAGAAGAGGGTGGAAGGGAGAGAGAGAAGAAAAAGGAAAAGGAAGAGAAGAGAGAAAAACAGAGAGAAGAAGAAGGGGAGGTTAGCTGTGATGACGGAGGGAAGGAGACTCTTTAGGATTCAGAGAGATCGAAAAAAAAAAAAAAAAAAAAAAAAAAAAAAAAGGGCCAAAGACAAGAAAAAAAGAAAACAAAAAAAAGAGAAGAGAGAGAAACGGAAAAGACAGAAGGGAAAGGAAAAAAAAAGAGGAGGCAGAGGAGGATTGAAGTTAAGATTGGCTAAAGGGGATGAGAAGTTGGGGGGAAATCGAAAAACCTGGGGCGGGGGGGTATTGCCTTACTTACACTGTCAAGCCCCCTATCGCTTACCCTACTAACCCCTTTTCCTTTGGCCAGCCGAGCTAACCACAATAAAAACCATTCCACTCGATCTTCTAGCAACCGAAAAACTTGTTTATGTACGTATGTCTGTTGTGTTCAGTAGTCGCTCAATCTTTACGGTCGGCAGGTTGTAGGCCGGGAGAGGGATAGTATTTAAAGTTGCTATATTCACACAACACGGATTTTAAAAAACGCAAATGTACTCCTAGTCTTATGAGATTGTCTAATTTTTGTTTATATAAGCACTAGGCATATTTATAAACATATATAAAACATAGAATATACTTTGTGTCTGACGGAATTTCGTATGGCAATTAGCCCCGTACGAATGTAGGGTTTTATAAAACTAATTTATTTTTCAAAATGTCTAAGGATATCGAAAAAAGCGGGGAAGTTCGTTTTGATACATTTTAAGTATACAGAAACTTTTAAAAAACATAAAATATTAACAGTTTCAGGTTCCCAGAGAAAGATAGAAAGGAAAATGGAATAAAAGGAAAAGAGAGGAGAAAATAAAAACGTGAAAAGTCACGGCAATAATTGATAAAAGTAACCTTCATAATCTATTTTCTTCTTTCTCCCCTCTTTCGGTAATGGGAAGAGAGGAACAAGCGAATAGATAGAATGGAAGGGTGGAATCAAGACAAATTGTGTAATGAATGAGAAAAAAAGAAAAAGAAAGTCACAGAAATATAATTAAATGTTAGACAGCAAAAAAATAACGAATTAATTTTAATCTTACTCACGAATTGATAGTTTAATCTTACTCATTTTCTCTCTCTGTTACAAGTGATATAAAGAAAGAGAGAGAACGAAAGAGAGAAGGAAGAAAAGAAAGAAAAGAGAAATGGAAAATAAAACAAAAA